AATTGTTGCCTGTCATTGAACTGAGTAGGTGGATGAGCCTGTTACAGTTCTTCCATCCCAAATTATGCTGACAGCAACTGGCGCCTCAACATTGAAAAATTAAGCCACGCCACTTATGAAAGAAGTAATGTTGATCCTATAATCCAGCTAAGAACGTGACAATGAAAGGAGAAAAACATTCATCTTGCTATATTGGAGATGCATTTGACCTTGTGGGGATCTCCACCACTCACAGAAATCAGTAAGTTGTACGCTCATAAAATTGTCTTAGGCCCCATCCACACATCCTCTAGCATTGACTTGAACGTGTCTCAATAACAGTTCTACGGGGGCCTGTCTGTTATGACCGTTGTCTTTGTCCCCAGACATAGCTGAGGACAGCTAACATAGGGCGTTCCTGAACTGACGTGGAAGGAATGTTTCCTATCTTTTCCTCACACCACCTTTGCAAAATGCATGATTTGCGTTGCACTGATGGTAACAGAAGTGATGAACTAACTGGAACTGGAATCTATCCAGTTTCTATTGGCTGCTTCTCCTTTCCAGTAGCTGATAACTTTCTTTCACGACTATTTTGTACTTCCAAACTAATAGAAGGAACAGCAGGACCACCAATGTCACTTTAAAAAAAAAAGTGGTAGATAGGGACAACTTTAAGGTGACTTGCCCATTAGACTGAGAGGCAGATCGTTTAGGCCAGGGATCTTCAACCTTGGCAACTTTAAGACTTGTGGACTTCAACTCTCAGAATTCCTCAGCCAGCTTTGCTCTTAATATACACTTTTTAAGATTTTCTGGACATCTGCTTCCATGGTTGGGCAAGAGGTTATAAGCAAAACTCATCCTGCATTCCACTTAGTTGCCTTAAAATTTATTAATTATGGATTAACCTAACTTTGAAATTAACACTTCTTAGCAATGCATAGCATGATTTTGTAACAAAGCTTACAGGTGATGAAGTGTTGTTGTTAAGAAACAGAAAATTTCTGGCTAAGCTGCAATTTTTACCAGCACTCACTACTCAGATGGGCTATTGAGAATTATGATCCAACAATATCTGAATATTCCTATGAACCAAAAGGTAGCTAAGTCAGATATAAACAGACATTTACATTATTTCTCTAAGATTAACTGCCTCTTTGGAGAAAAGCTAAGGAGATGTTGTCAAAACATATCTATGCTGTGAATCAGACTGTCATATTCTGCCTTCTATAATGAGAAATTAGCTTCTGTGCTTCACAATCGAAAAGAAAAAAGGAAGAGAAGAACAAAGAGGAAAAGGTCAAACACTCATTTATAAATAGAATAGAGCAGAATGAGGAAGCCTCACAATGTTTTGATCTGGGAGAAAATTCTCAAGGACGTAAAATTGTTTTTTATGGGTTAATAACTTAGAAGAAAAAAATATGCAAATGATATGACAAACAGAGCGTGAAAAATATGACTAATTATGTATATAAAATGGGAAAAAATATTGCAGCTACTGAAGCTGGTACTTGTATAGTAGGAATGTTGCTCAAATAGTAAACACAGTTGTCTGATTTTGTACTCAGATAAAAGGTAAAGATTCCCCTCACACATATGTGCTAGTCATTTCCGGCTCTAGGGGGCAGTACTCATCTCCGTTTCAAAGCCGAAGAGCCAACGCTGTCCGAAGACATTTCCGTGGCCATGTGGCCGGCATGACGAAATACCAAAGGCGCATGGAACGCTGTTACCTTCCCACCAAAGGTGGTCCTGTTTTTCTACTTGCATTTTTTACGTGCTTTCAAACTGCTAGGTTGGCAGAAGCTGGGACAAGTAACGGGAGCTCACCCCGTTACGTGGCAGTAGGGATTCAAACCGCTGAACTGCCGACCTTTCAATCGACAAGTTCAGCATCTTAGCCAATGAGCCACCGCGTCCCTTTTGTACTCAAGTTAGTTTTAATATTAGGGGAAGAAACACAAAAAGCATCTTAAGGCAATGTCATTATTAGTAACATCTCAAATGTCTATGAAGATTCTCAGTCATCCAAAGGGGCTTTTCAAAAGGCAACTGGACTTTCTTGGATGGAAAGTAAAATGTTTTCAAGGAAAAAAACCCAAGCCCAGTTGTTTTTCAAAAAGTACCTTTGAGAGAACATCTCAAATGCCATATAATTGCACATGTTTTTAAAAATGCCAGAACTTGTGACATTTGTTTCCCCCCAGTTTTTAACTATACAAAGAATCCATCGCTAGGCAGTCCAAAATTCCTATTTGCATTAATCTTGCACTAATTTTCAAAAACTCTTTCTGGAAACCAACACAAGGTGGCAGTACTGTTTCTCTCTGTATTGGTGCATTTGTTTGTATTTGTGCTCTTCAAATGTATAGGAGTTCAGCTCTCATCATCCTCGGAAGGCATTGTGGAAACAGGACATAATGGTCTGCTTTGTCTTTTTGGCAAAAAAAGGTGATGAGTTAATTCATCTGGAAACTTAACACTATTGAGGAGCAACTGAGGAAGTACTGCCAAATTAAACGGAATCAGTTTTTGAAAAACTCCATTTCAATTGCCCTTCGGTCCTGACAAAAAATTGAGCAGTGCTAATCCAAGATCAAGATAACCTGGTTATGCTAGTAATCCATAGCTGGATATCTAGTACTACTGTGATATTAATGCAGTAAAAATAATTGTTGGGAGGTGGGGGTTGGGGTGGGGAAGGACTGGAATTTTATGTACTCTTTCTCACTCTTCCTCTGTATGACAATAGTTTTATTATTAACAATTCTTTTCAAAAGCATTGTGTTACTTTTAATATTCAGGCATTTCTTTACAGGTGTTGTTGTTTTGCATTTTGACTTTCTCCTTTCTGACTCACCTGAATGTTCTTTGATACACTCAACTCAGCTACTTATATTGGAAAAGAGCAAAATAATACTCTTGTGATGTTTAGGAATTTCAACAGTTTTGTCAAACTGTCTTTTCTGATCTCTGGCCTATCCTTTCCAACTGAAGTATTCTTTGCCACTAGTTAAGCTGTTCTATAGATGTCTCTCTCTGACCCTGCTTGGCCACTGAGTTCTCAACTGCAGATTTTTCCTCCAACTATACCTGGATTCACAAAGACAAACACCCTCCACCCCCAAATACAACTCTAGCAATGCCTAAGAGTCAATCAACACTTCCTTCTGTAGGAAGTTAGCAACCACCCCTCTCCTAGAAAAATGAAATATTCTAGGAAATATTAAAAAGGCAGAATATTTTATTTCCCTGGATGAGAAATGGAGAAATACGTTTTTAGGCAGGAAACAGACTCACTCTTATTTATTTGTTTGTTTGTTTGTTTGTTTTAATTTGTATACCGCCCTTCTCTAGCAGGACTCAAAGGGCGGTGAACAGCCAGAATAAAACAGAACATTCAAAATTTAAAAACAGTTTAAAAATAATTAAATATTTTTGGCCGCAATTTAAATCAAACCCAATTAAAATCAATTGAAATTAACCAAAACTGTGGGATCAAGCCAGCCCGGCTAGGTGAAATAAATAAGTTTTCAAGGCCTGACGAAAAGTCCAGAGGTCTGATATTGTACGTATCTCTGAGGGGAGGTTGTTCCAGAGGGCGGGCGCCACCACAGAGAAGGCTCTCCCCCTGGGGGTTGCCAGCCGACACTGTTTGGCGGACGGCACCCTGAGGAGGCCCTCTCTGTGCGAGCGTAATAGCCCCCACCCCCCTCAATAGCCCACAGCAGATGTCCACACTTAAGAGATAAAGAGATAGCTAGGTCTATTCATAGGCAAATGCCCTCACCACATGGAACCTGGGAAGATTACATCGCCAAGCAAGGCTCAACCAAGCTTGGGACTCAGGACAGCCTACAGAGTTGCCCCTGCATGGCCCCATGGGAGTCTGACAACCAATCAGAATACAAGCTCAAATTCAAAAGCCCAAAAGAGGGCATAAAACCAAAGCATCTCAGCATCAGCCCCTTTTCTGCTCAGGAACTCAAGCCATGTGATCCTGTTCATCAATAAACCTTCTTTCCAAGCAACTTCCATGAATCCAGTGTCTTTTTCACCACTTGAAACTGAACCCAGATGGACATTTCTTCCAACACTTCATTGCTGAACAGTTCTGTCCTTTGTAACCTCTCCTAAAAAGGAGATGTTGCTTAGGCAGAAATGTAAATGTCTACGTGACTTTTTTCCAGGAGCTGGCAAACAAGCAGTGGACAACTGCTATCTTTTAATCTGGAGATCACTTCATGATCAGAAGATCATGCTACCATGGCACACAGTGAAGCAGTAGTTCTCAAGTTCTCTAGAAGAAATCTTGAAAGTTTATACACTCATTTGCGCATTCTTGGTTGTCCTAATAAAGGCCTTAAAAATCAATGGTGTGATGTTTACTTTTCATGGAATTGGGTGTTCCAATTTCTCAGATGGAGGGGAGAGGATGGGACAATCCTCTAGATCAGGGCTTTCAAAGTCACAGCCCGCAGGCAAGATGCGTCACAACGCTGGCCACGGCCACTTTTGCAAAAGGGGAAAAAGTTGTGATATGTCATGTGACGACGTGGAGTTTGACACCCCTGCTCTAGAGACTCCAATGCTCTGGAGAATACTCCCTATTGCAGCATTGATGAAATACTGTATCAACTGTCACTTGTCAAAGCTATCGGGAAGGTGGTTGTGGAAGTAGAGCTTTTTCATTAAGGCCGTGAGGAATTCCAAGGAAATTTTTTATTCAGAGGAACGTAACATTAAAATACCTTCATCAGAATGTCTTATCTCTAGTCAAGATTGCTTAAATTTTTATCAAGAATTTTGCATTCAATGAGGAAATATTCTGTCTCACATTTCTCATCTAACTTCTAATAAATTATGGTCCTATACTTTGCAAATTCTAGACTCCAGAAGAGTTCAGAAGTCACAATGATATTTTCTCTTTCTGATTGCAATTCTTTTGATCCAAAAATCTAAAAAAAAAGTTGTGCTGAATTTCATAAATCTGGATCACATACTAGACTGCAAGATAAATTATTCAATTATTGTTTTATTTGAACATACAAGGTGTCAGAATGTTACAAAACACTGTTAGCTCTTTTTTAAAAACTGCAGAATTAAGGTGATAATTTAATAATCAGCAATATAAGAACTCTTAGATCAATAACAGCTACATCATGAAAGATGAACAAGCTAAAATAAAGACTGCAAAAGTGTGATTGTGCCTCATCACTCCACAAACATTCTTGGACACGTCGTTCATGAATTTGCTTCAGGATTAAGACCTATTAAATTAATGTCAAATTTGGACCACAGGATGGGGAAATGTCTCAACTGGCATCTGTTACAAATCTACACAAAAACTGAATAGGATGATGTAATCTATCTTTCTACTCACAATTTTGACATTTCCCACTATGGTAAATGTATAGAAAATACTTACGAGATACCAACTGTACCTCTGCACTCAGATGCAGCCTAATTATTCAGATTAAACAACCCTAGTTGAAATAAACAGAGTTCCCCACTTCGAAAAGGACATCAAGCAGTCATGTTATGATGAGTACTTACTCAAAGTAGATGCCCTTTAAAACTTAAAGTAAACTTCAGCTACCTTTTTTTTAAATTATCTCCTCTTCAAAACTGTTGGGTTGTTTTCAAAGCTGTTTTGTTATTTAAAAAGCACTATTTCCTATAGCAAAAGCTTCTCCTATAAAAAGAAAGCAACAGATGGCAAAAAGCAGGGCACGCTCAAAATCATACAATTTTCTATTTCAGAAATAGTATGCGGTGTGTGTGATCCAATTGGAAGACTCTTCCTTTGAGCGTTTGGCCGAACTGTGGGAAGTAAAAATAGACTTGTACGCTTCTGATTTCTCCCCACTGGCTACAGAGGGCCTCTTCACAGGTTCAGGTGCACCTTTGATGCTTTTTTCGGAGAAAGATGGCGCTTTTTCATTGACTGCCATAGAACAGAGGACAAAGAAAATAGGCTGCATGAGTCCTCCATTGATAAAGTAGCATGTACATACAAATAAACAATATATTTCTTAGTAAATAGTCATACCCCAATTTTTAGCTTAGTTGAAAGTATTAGTTTTCTTATTTTTTAAAAACATTTTTATCTAAATATTATTATTTTATGGGCAGAATAACTTTTTATCCAAAAAGTTTGATAATCATGTAAAGATACATAATCATCATCATCTCTGTAATCATTTAAATGTGGATATACTATACACGTGATGGCGAACCTATGGCACACATGCCAGAAGTGGCACACAGAGTCCTCTCTGTGGACATGCGTGCTGTCACCAGCTGCTTTTCTGGCCAGTTGGTCTTCGCGGGCACCAGAGCGCTGGAAAATGGCCCAAAAACAAAATGGCCAGAAAATGGCCAAAAAACCGGCCTGAAAGTGGCCCAAAAAACAGCCTGAAAACGGCCCAAAAACTGGCCTGAAAATGGCCAAAAAACAGGCATGCACACCGGCCAGCTGGGCTTCAGGTTTCCGGCGTGTGCATATGCACGTGTGTTCCGGTTTGGGTACTCGGTGATGAAAAGATTCGCCATCACTGCACTATACTTTTCACAGAAATATTTACATCCCAAAAGTTTGGTCCCCTGAGGCATAAGAGGGAATCCTTCAGGCATTTCCTGCATCAAATGAGGAGAGCACATATTTCTCCTTCTGTCGTGGCCATTTTTTACAGAGGCACGATTGAGAGCGTTTTAATAAACTGCATCACTGTTTGTTGCCTCAGATAGAAAGTCGATACAGAGTGGTAAGGACAGCTGAGAAGAGTATAGGAAGCTCTCTTCCCGTTATTCAGGATACTGCTTATAAAAGCTATGTGCTTAGACCTCAAAGCATTGTTAGAACCCCACACACACCCACTTTACGGTCTGTTTCTGTTGCTCTCCTCTGGGAGGAGGTTTCAAAGTATTTTTAGCAGGACTACCAGATTCTGTAACAGCTTTGTTCCCTATGCCATCCATCTGGTAAACTCACAAGATTCATTTTTCTCGTTATGTAAATGTACACATCCGAACTAGACTATGTTGTTTCTGTCTCATATAATATATGTGGGTATATGCATAATTTTGTATTTATTTATTAATTTAGTTTGTCATGTTTATGTAGTGTATAGTAGAGGTGGTGACCCTTTGAGAGCTGTACGTAACAAAATTTCATTTTAATGTATGCCGATTAGTATACATTCAAAGTGACAATAAAGTTAGTCTAAATCTAAGTCTATTGCTAACTTAAAGAAAACACAGCAGCTTAATAAATCTGCCAAGAACCAAGTCCAAGCAAGCATAGTTAAATACTTCATTTTCAATTTTTACTTAAGCTGGAAGCCTGGTTAGTTTGCGTATGTTTAAAACTCAACACATAATACTTAACCATGATTAACAGCAATAGGGAAAGTACTCTCAGTAAGAAAGGAGCTTAATTCTGTAAACTCCGATCTTTCAGTTTATGGAAGTGAAGAAGATGCTTGGCTGCAAGAACTTCATCTGTACTATGGTATTGAATGGAGTACAGGTAATCCTTGAGTTACGACTACAATTGAGCTCAAAATGTATGTTGCTAAGTGAAACATTTGTTAAGTGAGTTTTGCCCCATTTTACAACCTTGATTAGTACAGTTGTTAAGTAAACCACTTCAGTTGTTAAGTTAGTAACATGGTTGTTAAATGACTTGTCAGAAGGTTGTAAAAGTTTATCACATGACCCAGGACATTGCAACCGTCATAAATATGAACCAGTTGCCAAGCATCTGAATTTTGATCATGTGACCATGGGGATGCTGCCGTGGTCATGTGAAAAACGGTCATAAGTTACTTTTTTCAGCCACACTGTAACTTTGAACGGTCACTAAGTGACCTGTTATAAATCAAGGACTACCTGCATTTATAAATTAGGTTTGGAAATATTACACCAACCTGAACTCTTGCAGAAGGCAATGCTCCTCTTTTCTCCAGTTTGTGTAGCATCCTTTGCAGTATTTACTTGAGATGGACTCTGTGAATCTGTATAATGGGGGTGGGGGAGAGGTAAAATGGTGCAACATGGATTAGTTTTATTATTGAAACCCTTTTTTCAATTAGATTACTTTGTGACACAGGAAGACAAGCTTCCATCAGGCTATTCTTGAGAAGCAATAACTGGCTGAATTTTGAAATGTTTGCCTCCTTGTTTTTTGCAGAATGAAGACGTTTGTGTTAAGTTCTAACGGCGCAAACTTTGCACCTACTTTTTTCCAATCTCATTACTAGAGGTTCAACTATCATGTTTTAACAAGCACATTGCACCTAGCACTAAGAAATCAGAAAGGATGGGAAAGCTAAAGACATAAATATTTGTGCAACTTGATAACCTTTGTGGTAACTCTTGGTTAATCTTCTTTGGCGTAGCCATGTGTAATAACCTTCTGGTTAATTTATGATTCAATATACTCTAAAAAGCCAAAAACAATCACTTAATTCAATAAGAAGGTTCTGCAGGCTCACTCAAATTGTTCTGTACTGAGAACAATGTATGAGAGTGGAGGCAAGGCGAATAAATAATAACTTTTATTAACAACAGCTAACATCAGACCTGCTCGGTGCTGAGGACCTTGGAGAGCGGGCAGCTTCTGAGGCACTGACAGCTCTTACAATATATCAATATATAGTTTCCATACAATAAAATAGCTCACAAGCCTTGCAAATAATAACAGAACAAAAACATAGGTTTTATTTATTTTTGATTTATAAGACCTTTAATCTTTTCTCTGCATTAATAACTGAACCCAGTGTAAACAATTCACCTTCAGCAGCTTCTGATTTCACAATGGTCTCTGCTGCCTTAATTTTCTTGGATTTCTGAAACAAAAGAAACAAACTAGAAACGATTTAAGAAGCTCAAAAACTAGCAAAATCCAAACATACATATGATAACTAGGAATATACTTGACTTAAGAATGCTTTATTCATCCTTGCTTTTGACTTACAAAACTACACACTCTACTCAGCTAAAGGCAAGGCTATATATTTCTAAGTCCATTTTTATTTTATAATATTGAAAGGCAAGTATATAAGTAGGTATTGGGAAAAAATTATGAAGCAAACATGCTTGTCCTAAGAGAAAATTTGTATCCTGAATCCAGATGTATCGTCAATATGAACTTCTGGCAGGTGTTCCATAAGACAGGAGTGTCAAACTCAAGGCCCGCAGGCCAGATCCGGCCTGCGTGGTGCTTAGAACTGGCCCGCGGGGCCACCCTGGAAACACCAAAGGACCAGCCCTCAGCGCCTCTGCCAGCGAAAACGGAACTTGGCCCTCAGCATGCGGCCCTCACAAGCTTTGTTTTCACTGGCAGAGGATTGCAGGAGGCCGTCACAGCCGGAAACGGAACTTGGGAGCCCGTTTTCACTGGCAGAGCACTTGGGCCACTACACGAGTGACATTTTTTTTTCAAAAAAGTTTTTTATTTTTATTTCTCACAAACACATTTACATGTACAGTCATTTATCCATCATTTTTCATTCATTTTGTCTTTTAATTTTAATTTTTACTTTTTACTTTTTCAGGGCTGCTCTCTTACCATTTACCTTTAATCCAACCTTTCTTCTTCTCTGTGCTTTTAATAGGCTGTACCCCGCCCTGAGTCCTTCGGGAGAAGGGCAGTATAGAAATAAAATTATTCTTATTCTTATTCTTCCCCTTCTCTTCCTTCCTCTTTCTCCTCCAACTTTCTTCTTTCTTCCTCTCTTTCTCTTTCCTACTTCCCCTTCCCTTCCCACACTCCTCTCTTTTTCCCCCTTCTAACCTTCTCTTCTACTCCTCTTTCCCCTCACTTTCCTTCCTCTCCTTTTCCCTTTCTTCTTTCTCTCCCTCTCCTCTCCTCTCTTCTCCCTTCCTCTCTCTACTCCTTGCCCTCTCTCTTGTTGTTTCCCTTTTCAGTTCAATCTAAAGTGGTATTCGAGCAGCCCCGGTTTTCTAATTATCTTTATTCTCATTTAAATTTCTTATTCAATTAATATTTATTTTTATTTCATCATTTGTGTACATTTTTATAATATCTCACTTTTTCCCCCTTTTACACCCCCTCCCCTTTCTCCTTTTACTTGGCATCATCTGGGTATCTATTTTTTAAATTGTTTTCTCCCATCTGTTCTCTATCTATTTTATCTCTATACCCTTATTCGTATTTCCTTTCTAACCAATCATAGAATTTTTCCCATGTCTTGAAATACACGAGTGACATTGAAGTGGCCATGCCCACCCCGGCCTCCCAAGGTCAAACAGAACCCTGATGCGGCCCTCAATGAAATCGAGTTTGACATCCCTGCAGTAAGGGGCTCATAGGTCTAATGAGCAAAGTCAGCATGAAAGGTATGCAGTCGACTTCATTTTCTGGGCCAAAGAAGGGCAGTTGCTATATTTGAGTTTGGAAATAAACAGAATTGTCTCTTATATGAGGTTTAGGTTGTCTGAGTTTTCAAAAAAGAAGAAAACTACTCAACAAAATCAAATGTACCATAACAATGCATCGGAAGTACACACAGAAATATGTCAAGGAAGTTTAATTTTGAGAGATGGATAACCCTGTAGGTTTGTATCACTGGTCATCCACTAGATGGCATACTACCTTTTCATTCTAGAGAAAAAAATTAAGAGCAGAGGGCTTTTGATTGAAATCCTTTTCTCACTCCTGAGTAGGTCGATAATTGACCTTAAAAGGTATTATTGATTGAACTCAGTGTGATCACTAAGCACCTTACAGCACCTTGAAACCTTAACAAGATTCTAAAAAAACTTGTATTTTGAAATAACACAAAACAATTATTTGCTGGAGTGGGTCAACTGCAAAATCTAAGACTAGCTTCACCAGTCTCTTCTAAAATTCAATAGGGAAATGAAACATAATGCCTATCTAACGACCTACAGGCTGCAAGAAAACAAGCAAGCTCCGAGAGCACCCAGGATCCCAGAGTCCCCCCTCCTCCTGCTCCCCTTCCTCCCTTTCCTTAGATAGGTAGTGTGCTAAAGTGTTTTTCTTTTTTTAAAGTTGCACGCATGAAAAGACCAGTAGTAGAGAGTGAATCAGTATTATAGTGAATAAACTGCCTGCAATTTGGCAGATTGAATCTCACCAGGCTCAAGTTTGACTCAGCCTTCCATCCTTCCAAGGTGGGTAAAATGAGGACACAAATTGTTGGGGGCAATATGCTGATTCTGTAAACCGCTTAGAGAGGGCTGGAAAGCGCTATGAAGCGGTATATAAGTCTAAGTGCTATTGTTATTGCTAAACAATGCGTCCATCAACACTTTTAGGCTTCAAAACCAGGATATTACATACAGATATACACAATCTATATATAGCTACCGTGTTTCCCCAAAAATAAGACAGGGTCTTATTTTCTTTTGACCCCTGAAATAAGCGCTTGGCCTTATTTTCGGGGACGTCTTACTTTTTTTGAGGTGCAGGAGGAGCGAGCTCACCATACCGGGTGGGTGGGTGGGTGGGGGCATAGAGCTGCAACAATTGGAGCTGGCAAGTCGAACGATGAGCAAGATGGTGGCGGCAACACACGTCAGGACAGCGCCAGCCAGCTGCTCATCAGCAGGCCGCTCTCCTGGCCAGGTCTGGCAGCATGCGGCACCGGCAGGCAATGAGGAGCGCGGCCGGCACGAAGAACAGGGAGGCGGCGGGAGCGATGGGACTTCCGGCGGCAGCACAACAACTGCACATCAGCTGTTCACCCCTGCGGCTGTGCCCGCGCTTCCAGCCATGCTTCCCAGGACTCTGCACCATGCCGTCAGCCTGGCTACACTGCTGGGTTTGCGGGAGCGGCCTCTGCAAGGCCGTTCCCTGTGGATGGCAGGTGTGGGGGGCATGTTCCCCCTCCTTATCCCCCCAAGGAAATGGCGGGGGTCGACTGTGCAGATGCTTCAAATACCTTATTTTCGGGGGAGGGCTTATTTTAGCGCATGCACTCAAAAGCCCGATTGGGCTTATTATCCAGAGGGGTCTTAGTTTTGAGGAAACCCGGTAGTATGTTGTTTGGTGGCATAATCCAAGACTTTATAAATTATTACAAGGCAAGATATTAATTCAATGTTCTTTCATATTTAATATTGTAAATCAATGTGAAACTCGTCCTTCTTTTGATCAGTGATAGAATGGGCTGAAAACAACAGAATGGCTTCTTAGGGTAAAGTTGGCCTAATCAGAGTGGGGTTAGGGGACCTTCTGAAAAGAATGGAGCTGGCTACAGACATGGCTCAACTCCATCCATATTTTTTCCCCCTTCTCTCCCCACTTTTCACATACCATTTGGTCTTATTGCACATTTTTGGGAAATTCAGAAGCGGGCACCATACAGCTTACTGAAGAGTTCTGTCTCTAAATAGAGGTCAGATTTTTTTATGATAATCAACGGCTGCTACATTCTTTATGGACCAAACATTGGAGAAAATGTAGTCAAGGATCTAACAGGTTGTGAACTTGTATTGGCTGAAATCCAATGAACCATGTTAAGTGTCTTGAACGGAAGCCAATGTTTTCAGCACGTAAAATTGCTTATTCAACAGCTACTGTGAAGCCATTTATATTACGCCCTAGTGTTCTGTTATGAGTTCCCCAGGATACAGTAATGTTATTGGGGAGCAGAAATTATTTGAATGACATTTATTATTGTAAAGACCAGGTAACCTCCATTGCTCCAGAACCAAGAACTTCCAACCCTGTCCTTATTTTATCCTTGTTATCTGCATATAACTTCAGAAAATGTATTGAGACCTTACCTTCCCTACTTTACTTTTCAGCCTTCGCTCCTCCATTCTTTTCTTTAGCATCTCTACGTCCTCTTTACTGCCATTAAGGACAATCACATCATCATCTTGAAAGGGGATCCCACACTTTAATAACGGGAAAAAAAAGAGACACTGTTTATGATGCAGTACAGTTCCAAACAGAAGTACTAGAAAGTAAAAGACATGTTATTCATATTGCAAATATTTTATTAACCAAAAATCAAAACTAGATTTAAATGTGTACCTTGTACTACCCTGTTTCCCCCAAATTAAGACATCCCCTGATTATAAGCCCAATCAGGCTTTTGAGCGCATAGCAATAAGGCCAAGTGCTTATTTCAGGGTTCAAAAAAATATAAGACAGTGTCTTCTTTTCGGGGAAACACGGTACATATCTGTAAATCAGGTGTCTGCTTTCTCTGCCATGATTAATTCATCAGACGGAGCCACATAACTTTTTATTCATTTTCATTCATTAAGTAAGGATGTTTAAAAAGAAATACCTTTAGGGTTGGACCAATATTCTTCCTTCCCCTCAAACTTTATTAAAATTCTACTCCTAAAATACATAACAAACATAATTCTTCAAACAAAGTCACTGGGGAAAACTGAATCCGTTTAACAACAATGTGATTCACTTAATGACCATGACGATTTGCTTAATGACCATACCGAAAAGGTAGTAAAATCGGGTACAAATCATTTAATGACTGCTTCACTTAATGACAGAAGTTCTGGTCCCACATGTGATCATATGTCAAAGACTACCTGTAGCACATAAGTAGGACCTAATGAAACATGTCAACATATTTTTGTTGTGGCCCGTACGCGGCCTGTGCAGCTAGTAGCTGATTCAGATAGCGAGGAGGCTGGTGTGGTGCTGCGCCAGCAGCCTGTGCAGCTGGCATTCGAGTTGGACAATGAGGAGGTTGGAGAAGATGTGGTGCCAGAGGCAGGGATTCAGCCAGGGCCTTCAGAACCTCCAGAAGCTCCCTTAAGTGAAGAGGACGAAGAGGAGGAGCCTCTTCTCGATGCACAGGCACGCAGCGCTGCCAAAAGGCAGGAGTGGCTTCTCAGGAGGAGGTCTCCTCGAGAGTAAGGCTTGGGGCTAATTGGCCACTCCCTTAGCCTATTTAAGGAGGACCGCCGACTGAAGCAATTTGCAGGGAACAACTTAGTTCACATACCTTCCTGTCTTGTCTTGCTTATCTTATCTGATCAGCTTCCTGCAAATTGCTTCTGGGCATTCTGCCAACCATAGTAAGTTTTCAGTTATTATTCTTTGAATTCTTGGTGGCTGTTAATGCAATTAATTAACAGCCGTTGTTGTAAAAGACTGGTTTATTCAGTAAACTAAGGTTTGAACGGACTTTGTGTGTGCTGCGTTCTTTGGGTTCCGTAGCTGGGGCAGAACAATTTTATAGATCTAACAGGACTTAAAAAACAGTCTGCAGCTTTACTTTTTCTGGGACTCAGCATCCCTCCTACCAAAGAAATATATTAAGCTACCTTATCAGCAGATCAATATGTTTGTTTCTCCAACAGTTATTATAAATCTGCCAGATATAGGTAGTCCTCGACTTACGTCCACAATTGAGCCCAAACTTTGTTGCTAATCGAGATATTTGTTAAGTGAGTTTTGCCCCATTTTGCAACCTTTCTTGCCACAGTTGTTAAGTGAATCCCTGCAGCTGATAAGTTACTAACCTCATTAAGCGAATCTGGCTTCCCCACTGATTTTCCTTGTCAGAAGGTCGCAAAAGGAGATCACACGACTTATGACACAGCAACGGTCATAAGTATGAACCAATTGCCAAGCACCTGAATTTTAATCACATGATCATGGGGATGCTTCAAAGGTTTCAACTGTGAAAAACGGTCATAAGTCACTTTTTTCAGTATTGTTGTAACTTTGAACGGTCACTAAATGAACTGTTGCAACTCGAGGACTACCTGCATTGGACTTTCCAGGGGAAAATACTTGTTACTAAAAAAAAAATCTCCCTGAAAAGGCTAAAACCAGCTCCTACAGAGGAAAAAGGAAAGGATTAGAACACTAGCGACATTATTTGGAGGTGAATGAATTGCGTTCCAAGGAGGAATGAAGAGAAAAGGCACGTATCTGAACAATAAGGAAATTGGCTAAGAAATCGGCATTACCAAATTCATCAGCATTGTGTACTGCGAATTGGCAAGCTGTAAATTGTATTTCCTGTTCTGAACAGGGTTTCTCCCTATTCTCTCAAACTGTCATGTTGCTGGGAAATTGAGAAAGAATAAAGGTGGGGGAGTGATAAGGAGAGCCTGAAATTGTTGGGCATCTATCTTATTACATCAGGGAAGCTTTGTTGTTGCTAAAACTCAGGGACTTCCTCTTTATTTCTCTTATTTGCTTAGAGAATCCCATGGTTTGTTGTATACAGGATCTCCTTTAATACATTCTTCGCCTCCTTACCAAAGTTGTGCAAAAGAAAGCTTTTCAGGAGACAAGTCATATGTGAACTGTTGATCAAAACAAATTGGAAAGGCTTAAAGAGGAAGTGAAGGTCGGTAAGTGGAATCCATTAAATGGCTAAATTAAGAGTTATACGACACCTGAATTTTCCCTCTTTCTTTTTAAAATGGTGGGGCCCAGCACTGAAAATAACCTTCTATGTGTATGCAAATAATACACAAATTCGGAATGACTACTAATATGATTGCATTGTCCAGAAGTATCAGATACCAATACTCTTCAACATCTTCATAAATGATCTAGATGTATGAAAGGGAACTCATCAAATTTGCAGACACCACCAAACTGGCGGGAATAGCTAACCCTTTATATCAGGGGTATCAAACTCAAAGGTCCCGGGGCCGGATGTGACCCATGGGACTGCCCTGGAAACTGCAAAGGACCAGCCCTGGTGCCTCTGCCAGTGAAAACGGAGTTTGGGAGGGTCGTCTGCAGCCCTCCTGAGCTCCGTTTTCACTTGCAGAGGGTTGCGGGAGGCCGTCGCAGCTGAAAATGGAGCTCGGGAGCTCATTTTCGCTGGCAGAGCACTCAGGCCACCACAGACGCCCCTCCCCCTGACATGAGTGATGTCGAGCTGGCCATGCCCACCCTGGCCACACCCACCCGGCCCCCTGAGGTCAAACACAACCCTGATGCGGCCCTCAATAAAATTGAATTTGACACCCCTGCTTTATATGATAGACTCAACATTCAACTGACTTGAACACTGAGCCCTATCCAACAAAATGTAATTCAGTGGTGACACATAGGCATGAAAAACCAAATGCACTGATACAGAATGGCTCAACAGTACCAATTCTGAAAGGGGATCTAGGTGTCCTAGTAGACCACCACTTAAGTATAAGCCAGCAGTGTGCTGCAGCTGCCAAAACAGCTAATGCATCAACGGAGGGATAGTTTCAAGATCACATGAAGTATACTAGACCCTACAAAGAATGTAGAGAAGAACAACAAAGCTGATAACAGGTCCGGAGGCTAAACCATACAATGAACGAACGAAGGCAAATATACGTGTCTCAGGATAATGTTGCAGGATCCAATCTGAGTTGGTCACTAGGACCAGAGGTTTAGTTTTCTGAGCTTTCGGACTCGTGCTGGAGCCCATCCTCAGGGAACTCCTCTCTACCAGAATGTGTATTGGTATTAATTAAACAGCACATTCAGAGCTGTTGCTTGTGGCTTTCCGTTACTTGATTTATTGTAGCCTTAAATTCTGTTTTTCCTGTTCTAGCGTGTCCGCCTTGCTATACAATTGTGGCTGTGGTCTATGCGCAGCAAACCGTTACAGTGGATTTAAGATTTTTATATTAGAATACTGTAAGCAGAGTGCTGGAGATATGCTGAAGGATAAAAGTAGTGATGAATTTCATCTGAAAAAAAGAAACACCAAATATAAAACAATCCCTTCCTCCCAACCCACCAACCAACCCACAAAAAGAGATCTGGGAAGAATAAACAGACAAACAAACAAACAAACTGCTTCCATTATCATAACTTCATCAGATCTAATAGAATGGTCACATTTTAAAAGTCTTGGGAAAAATATCTGGTCTTTGTTTTGTTGGATAAACAGTCGTAAGAATACCGAAGGATGGATGAGATATCAAGACAAAGTGAAATGAGGTTCATGCAGAGAACAGCTATGGCTTCTGTCAACAACAGAACTCACTTAGTGTCGGGCCTGCCTGAGCTTGATCCTCAACTCTATTTATTGAGAAAAGGTATCGTTTATTAAGAGGTCAGATGAAACACAATAAGACAAAGCCAGAACTGAAATCCCCAAGTGTAACTCTTTCCTCTTCTAGGTTCTTCCCATTGCTTGCCCCCATTGTCCAATCAAATTCAAAGAAAATGTTTTTGGAAAGGTCACTAGATTTTGGTATGCAGTTGTATTGTTCTCAGCCGTTTGACCATGAAGCTCTTCTTGGAAAGATGCAGATAACTTTCATTTCCCTTGAAGCCTCCTCCCTCGTATCTGACCTCCCTTGAGTTCGTGGTAGCTGATACTGAATGACTGGAAAGTGCAAGCGTGAGGTGGAAGCTGACACTCAGGCTTAATTATATTTGGAATGTAAAAAATAAATAAATGTCAGAGCCAAAAGGCTTTAACAAAAGACAACCTCATTAAGAAAATAAAAACCAATAGCTCCTAGATTCTTTGCTATTTTCACCTGTTTTGTTCTCGCTTAGGAACTGGTTTCTATTTCATTCATGGCCAACATTTTGGAAATACTTGAATGCCTGCTGTAGCTGAAAGGCTGAGAACTAGTGAACTAGTATACTTCTGTGGAGAGCCAAGGAAAAGACAATGATGGGGGAGATCAAATAACCCATTATGGGGTTTGTGCTCATCTTTCTGAGCTTACTTTTGCAAATATCCCTTCTTTTGATTGCCTGTGCAGTGAGTATTCTTCCAGTGTAACATGGTCTGATGTAACAGGAAGCCAGTACAAGAGAACTTTGAAGTGCGGTAAGCTTATTTCCTTTTATTGTTAATGACCGTCTTGGAGTAAGTGTTTCTCTCCGAGATTTTCTAATGAACTTATCTCTATGTTTGATTTATTTTGGAGTAAGCATGCTGCTTTGTTTGTTTTATCACAGAGCAGTAGAGTTGGGAGGGAGAATCCACTAGAAGACCTTTTATTTATTTGATATCCGTAAAACGTATTTTTTCTGGCCCTGGATTGAGGGATACGATACCAACAGTAGAGTCATAGAACGGGCAAAAGAGACCATTTGCACAGAATAGACAAAAACCTGGGGAGAAACACAGATGCATATGGCTCTTAAGAAACGTTATTTTCTCCCATGAGAGCTTATTCAGATTCAGTGCACCTTGCGTATCTTTCGGTTATACAATTTGTTCCGTTTGAGGATTTTGCTTGGTGACGTTACGAGCTGCTGAGAATAGAGAAGGATGCAGAGAGTGAGTGATTTATACAGATCCGCAGAGCAACCGTAATGGGAAATACAGTAGGTTAAGCTTGCCAAGTGCTGTGCATTCACCATTGGGAGTTTATAGTAACAATTGCATGGTTTTTTGTATATCTTTTTGTTTACTATTTTCAGGCTCCTAGGCGGTTTATCTTAAAAAGCAGTTGCTAACTTAGGGAGAACAGTAGAAGAGACACCCTTCAATCCGTGCGTTTGAAAGCTTTGCCAATGTTATCCGGCTGGTCATTTTGAAGGATTCCAGGATTAGATGGATCAACTGGCCTGAACAGGTAAGGCTCAAAATGTTGTGTTCAGGATTGAGCTGTAAAGACACGGTTTGTCAAAATGAGACAGGAAGCAACCATGCTGACTCTATAAACTGCTTAGAGAAGGGCTGAAGAGCAACATGAAGCAATATATAAGTTTAAGTGCTATTGCTGTTCACTTTTTCCTCATTTGTTTAAACATCTTGCACAATTTTACATCAGTTGTTACTCTATGCCGGTGTCATTTTCTCAAGTTCCATGCTATACAGATGCCCTTAGTGTAGTACCCAGCTGGGAAGGTAAAACTAGATTATTCTCTCAATAAGACCCTGTCTTTAACAATAATCTTAGACCACACGGGCCTGATGCAAACCTGAATAGGCCAGGTCTTTGTTCTTGAATGTACATTCTCATTTAAGCAATTTATCAAATGAGAACAATATCTAATCTTCTTTTTAAAAAAATGGTGATACCACAGCTTGTAGTAAGAAAACTAACTGAAAAACAGTTGAGCTACTACAGTTAAAGATTAGAAAATTGCTACTGCCAGGTAGGTTTTTTCAAATCTTTTTGAACTGCTTCACATGAATTATAATCTGCTTCTCTCTTCTGAAAACCTACAATTTTCAACTCTTGTTTTTCAGATTCTGGTTATTTAAAAATATGTACATGTTTTATCTGAAATATGCATTTTATATACATGCAGACATCACCCTAAATTACACCATCAAACCTATTAAAGCTTCTTCAAAAGAACCTAAATAAATTCCTAACTAAAGTCACAATATTTTTGTATCACTTTTCCTAATGGTGGAAGTAAGTAAGTAAGTAAGTAAGTAAGTAAGTAAGTAAGTAAGTAAGTAAGATAAAAGAGAAAGAATAGAAAAGAGAAGGGAAGGGAAGGGAAGGGAAGGGAAGGGAAGGGAGGAAGGAAGGAAGAGGACGAGAACAGGAAGAACGTCAGAGTCTGTTTCACTCATACTGTATAAATAACAATTTTTGATTATGTGTCATCAAGTTCTGCTTGACTCGTTGTAACCACAGATTTTCTCTTATTATGATCTGTCCCTAACCTGATCTTTTAGATCTTCCAATGCTGCACACTCGCCACCTCTGTAACTAAATCCACCCACCTTTCTGCTTTTTTGTCTTCTCTCTTTTCATCTTTCTCAGCATTAGGGATCCATTTATTTGCTTTCTTGCCTGTCCACATTCTCCAACACAAAAGTCCATCACTATTTTTCCCATTCTAATTTTTCAAAGTCCCAACTTTGACTTCCATAGGGTAGCACAGAAAATACCACAATTTGCACCATTCTGCTCTTTGCAGGTACCTATAATTCCTAAATATTATACTATTACAATTGCCAGTGCAAATCACCAGAATGTCAATACAAGGAATTTGCTTTAAAAAAGTTTGGAAATCCAGGAAGAGCATATTTATCAAAAGCATACTTCAGAAATTCTACTCAAGTATTTTAATTTATTTTTTCTGGAGTGGAAAAAAACTTTAAACCAACTTTTATGAGTCAGGTTTTCTTTCCTTTTTAATTTGTTAAAGTCAGAACTAGAGCTTCATAGATTGGTGGTTGTTTTGGAATAAAACTAAAATAGGTTGTAATAATGCTACACAAATCAAGTCTCATTACTGTGCCTACAAGAAATGAAACTAAAACAGAATGATTTTAGGTAAGAGTCGGCCAATAGCTCATTTGTTGTTTGCATAATGAAGGGGGTGAGGGGAGCTTACTTTTCTATTGTCCTGTTCTGAAATATACCGGGTTTTGTACTCTCACAGTAGATGAAACTTTCTAAAAATGAACAAGGCCAAGGCAGAAAGAGAACAGAAACATGGTAAAAAACCGGGTGAAGCTAATGATCAGTTGTGGTATTTCTCTATCAAATCTAAGAATATTATTCACACTATTAATAGCTAACTTATACTGTACTTAATACAATACATAAATATACTGTATTAAGTACAATATAATTACAATTGAAACTTGTAAACCTTTCATTACTTACTATCCCTGGTAAGCCAGCACTTAGCAGTGCATAATTGCTCTTTGTTTTATGTCTGCCATTCAGTGCTGTTATTGCTGTTATACAAATTACGCAATTGTTGATACTTTTCTATTGAAAAATGAAGTATTGTTTAACGCTATTGCCAATTATTTTGCCAAGCAAAATAGCTTTCATTTTGGCTGAAGTTAATTCATCAGCTTTGAAAAGCACTCTCTATGCGCCTCCTTATCAACAAAGGTTCATCGTGTTTGCAAGCTGCAGATAAGTCCATCAAGAATGCTGCCAGTGTGTCCTTAAATGGAAGCTTATCTGTAGTTTCCTCCAATTCTTGACTTATAACTGATTGTTTAACAACTAACAGCCGTGGTGGCGTAGTGGTTACAATGTAGTATGGCAGGACAACTCACTGCCGACTGCCAGCAGTTCGATCCTGACCGGCTCAAGGTTGACTCAGTCTTCCACCCTTCCGAGGACCCAGATTGATGGGGGCAATATGCTGACTCTGTAAACCTCTTAGAGAGGGCTGTAAAGCCCTGTGAAGCGGTATACAAGTCTAAGTGATATTGCTAGTCAAAGGTATAACGGCTTTGGAAAAGCACTTCTTCCGGCTGCTTTAAAATGCCATACTGAACCCTGCGCTGTGGTGACATGAACACTATCTGGGAGCTTGGCCAAGTGGTTTTGTGATTGCCATTTGCAATCTTCTCTGCCGGCTTCTTCAGAAAGTTAATGGGGACGCTGGCAGGGAAGGTTGCAAGCTGCTGCTGCTGCTGCTGCTGTCTGCCAAAAAGGACTCCCTCTCGTCTCTGGGGCCCAGCTGAAAAGGGAAACTGGACTCCTTCGGTGGGGTGCAGAAATGGAGCAGAGTCTGCAAAGATTCGAGCTCTGTACCCACTGCCTGACGGAGCGGTTTCCTTCCACACAAGGAGGGGAACCAAACTCCTCTGGTGGGCTGCACAGATCAGAGCTCTGATCCCAAAGATACGGGCTCCATTCCTGCAGTCCACCAAAGCAATTCCCTTCCGAGTATTGAGAGGAACTAGGCTCGGCAGGCAGCTCTTTCACTCTGTCCATTTAACAACCTGGGAGATTGCTTACCGATGGCAATTGGGAGTGCCAGGATTGAGGTTGTTGAGCAAAGCAGTCATCCAGGCATCTCACTTAACCACCACTTCACTCAATGAGCAAGAATTTCGCCCCAATTGTGGTCTAAGTTGAGGATTATTTGTAAGAAGCAGAATCAGGCAAAAAAGTCCAAAAAAGCAATTTTGGAACTCAAATGTCCCAAAGGTGCTTTTTCAAGAGGCAAACTGGACTTTCTGGTTTTCTTCTTCAGCTCTAAAGTTTCTTGGATGAGAAGCAAAACGTCTTAAAAGAAAAACCAGAAAGTCCAGTTGCCTCTTGAAAAAGCACCTTTGGGACAACCACGACCTGGATGACTGGAGAATCTCCATAGACATTTGGAACTCAAATGTCACATGATGTAACATGATGTAATATGACAGCAAGATGCAGTAACAATCCAACATCATTTTACACATTGAAACCCAGAGGTTGCCCCTGACAAAAGCTACAAGTTGTAAAATAGTTTGGATTGCGTAAAAGTATCTTAGAATTGTAGAATGTAGCACATGAAGCTGTGAACTGCCCATTTTCAGCAAAACAAAACAGCATTTCACAAATGAAGACAAATATATGTGTCCCAGGATCAGGGGTGAAATCCAGCAGGTTCTGGAGAACCGGTAGCGGAAATTTTGAGTATGTCAGAGAAACAGCAAATATCACTTCTGGCTGGCCCCAGAGTGAGGTGGGAATGGAGATTTTGCAGTATCCTTCCCCCAGAAGTGGAGAGAGAATGGGGATTTTGCAGTATCTTTCCCCTGGAGTGGGGTGGGAATGGAGGTTTTGCACTATCCTTCCCCTGCCATGCTCACCAAGCCACGCCCACCAAGCCACACCCACAGAACTGGTAGTAAAAAAAAATGGATTTCACCACTGCCCAGGATAATATTGCAATCTGGGTCAGTCACCGGAACCAGAGATTAATTCAACATTCTTCCATATTTACTATTGTAAATCACTGTGAAACTTGTGTTTCTTTTGACCAGTGATAGAATTCAGGATCCAATCTGGATCGGTGAGAGACACATTCTGGTGAGAGAGAGAAGTTCCCTTGAGGATGGGCTCCAGCAGCTCCAAAAGCTCAGAAGACTAAACTTCTGGTCCTGGTGACCCGACCCAGATTGGATCCTGCAAAACATCATTTAGTCAAAGATAAAGTAATCTTATTTTAGGATATAATGATTCTTTTACTTCTCGAGGGATGCACACATAAAATTGGGTACAAAAATCACACCATCCTTGAGAAAGCAGTTAATTAGATTTTTATCACATATAAACTGGTTTATGATCAGTGGTGGGTTTCTACCGGTTTGCCCTGGTTCGGACAAACCGGTAGCAGTGGCGGCGGGAGGCTCCGCCCACCCATCCGGACATCATCACGGACGCTCTGCGCATGCACAGAAGATTCTGCGCATGCGCAGAAGCACCGCACATGAACGAAGCAAGCACGCACGCTCACAGTTCACTAGTAGTGAAGGTAAGTGAAACCCACTACTGTTTATGATGCAAATTATGTTTTAAAAAAATGAAGTCTGCTTTGTATATCTGGAGTTT